AACTTATCCTAAATAGGGGAGAGCTTGGAGAAGTTTTGTCTTCAGATATTTAAAAACCTTGCAAGTCAGATGATTTGTTTGTTTTTGTTTGTTTGTTTTAGAGGGATGAATTTGCAACCAGTGTTTACAGAGAAAATGGATTTTGACTCATCATTAGAAAACCTCTTGAGCTGTACAGCAGTTGAATAATTAGTTGCCATGTGAGAAGTGAGCCTCCTGTCACAAAAAATGGAAAATGATAGGTTGGAAAGTAGGTGTTCCAGCCCAGTTCCTGGACGTGACTCCTTTATTGATTTAGGGATGAGGTTAGATGGACCTCCTGCTCCCACCCCATTCTCTGAGTAGGAATTCTTAGTCCTTTCTGAAATCTTGAGTATAACAGGAAATTACCAGTTTTTGAGGTTTGTCTTTAATTTTTTTGTTTATTGTGCTTATGACAAGTGTAGATAATTTCACATTGCAGTGACCAGTATCTCATTTGGTTCCTTAGATATTACTCTGGATGATTCTGAGTAAAACTGTGGGTGTGTTACCGGTGTGGAGAGGTCCTCATCCCCACCTGTTGCTCGTGGGGGTGGATTCCTTGCAATATCCCAAGAAAAAGAATTTTCTGAAACTTGCGAGAGAGGATGAGATATTGTAGAAAGCTTTATTTCTGTGGAATTACACCCCTGAAATTCTAAGATCCAATTTCTCTTAGTCCAGTCATAGAAGAAGTATAGTTGGGGCTTCAGCAGAGCTAACATCAGAGCCAGTGTCCAGAATTTCCTTCCCATGTTGGAGCCAAGTCCAGTCCAGCATCAGTCCATTTGTCCATTGCATGTGGGGTTGGCGAGTGCCAGGAAGCCAAGAGTCAAGAGCAACAGGAGAGAGAACTCCTTTATTAGGAGATTATGTATTCCCAAATTTTTTCAGGCTTTCATTGGTTCCATCCATTCTGACAAATCCGTGGTTCTCCAGGTTTGACTGACAGGTACTTTCCCTGGTCACCCCAGCCTCACTGCACATACGTCTATCCTTTATTGGACCCCTCCTGCCAGTGATCTACAGAGAATGGGCAGGTGGTTCCCTGGGGGTTGCAGTTGCAGCTCCTGGTGAAGCTGCCCAAATGACCTGCCTGTAATGTCTGGCCTTCTCTTTGTTCCTTTTCTATTGTTAATAACTAGTTAATTACAACAGTATCTGGTGGCACACACACACACACACACACACACCCCACACACACCACACACCACACACACACACACACACACACACACACACACACCACACACACCACACACACCACACACCACACACACCACACACCACACACACCACACACCACACACACCACATGTGCAAGCGGGCCGTGTCCGTTATGCTGGGAGAGAGGTCTTTTGTACATTGACGATCACAGCAGCTCAGGAGAGTGTAGGATTGCTTGCAGGGATTATCTTTTATGTTGTTTTCCTACTTTTTCTTGGAGGCTGACTTTTTTTAGAGACAGCATATTTAGGAGTGAGAAGGGTAGGGACAGTAATGAGGCAGGGTCCCCCGTGATTTTATATTCATGAAATATAGAAAACTGACATTTTCTTATGTATTTAGAAAAATATGTTGTCAAAGGAGGAAAAATAGATCAGTTGTTAGCAGGTATGTGGGAAAACAGCAGTAGTGTTGGTTCTTGTGGCCTACAAATAAGTAATGATTGTGCAGGATGGAGGAAAGGAAAGCAGAGAGAGGCTAATGCGGCTGAGGATAACGAGCTTCTACAGAAGCTCTCTGTGGCCACCAGGAGAAGGGTTCTGTGCCTTTTAAGTGTCTGCTGAAAGCATGGCCCTTCATAAAATCACTAAAACATTCCACTCTCTATAAAATATGAAATAGAAACTAATATAGTCTTGCTGCTCCTGATTATCTAAAGATATGGCTTCTGGTTTTTTCTTATTGATAATTTAAATAAAAATTAAAATGTTATTTCTAAGAGTCTGAACAATTTATCATTAGCAAACTAGAACTGATCCCTATTTAAAATTTTTAATTGATTTTTAGGGTGTAGCACAAATATGCTTTCTTATAGATTTGTGAAACAAAAACGTGGGTATATATAACAAAATTGATCCACAAAATTAATCAGGAGATTTCTGGGGTCCAGGAGGTTGGCACAAAACCCTATCAGAGATAGCATCTCTTGATCTGTATTTTAGTTCTGTATTTCTCTCTGATCTCAGAAATAAACCTGTGTTGAGTTGCTAAAATATTTCCTCTTTCAGCATGTTCATACTTAGTTGTTGAAATATGTGAATCCTATATAATAAAAGGCTAATATGCATATCAACCGAACAGCGGAACAACCAGTTGCTATGACATGCACTGACCACCAGGGGGCAGACGCTCAATGCAGGAGCTGCCCCCTGGTGGTCAGTGCATGCCCACAGGGTGAGGGCTGCTCAGCCAGAAGCCCTGAGCTGGGTTCACGGTTGGTAAGCGCAGTGGCAGGAGCCTTTCCTGCTTCTGTGGCAGAGCAGGCCTAAGCTGTCAGTCAGACATCCCCTGAGGGCTCCAGGACTGCAAGAGGGCGTAGATGGGGCTGAGGGACCCTCCCCCCCACCACAAGGGCACAAATTTTGTGCATTGAGCCTCTAGTAAAAATATAAGCTTTGAAATTTAATTTTGCTTACCAGTCATACCATCCCTAGGAATTTACTAAATAAGAGAACATAGAATCAGAAAGGTTCTAGTCCTGAAAATGTTTGTCTTATTTTTAAATAAAATCATGGATAATAATATAAATATCTAAGAGCTAAGGAATAAATAAGCACATTATGATGCATCAGCTAAATGTGTCATAATTATTGTGTTTCCATTAAATAAAAATTATGATAAAACTAAAGCAAAAAGTGTATTTACAATATGATTATAAACATGCAGAAAATCCACATGCCTAGGGACAAAGACTGGAGGGAGATGAGTCTAGAATGTTCAAGGTGGGATTGGCGGTACACTTCCCTATTAAAGCCATTTGGCATAAATAAATGTAGTTTTTAAAAATGAATATGGCCGTGAGTTGGGAGTTTTGCCAAGGAATAGTTTGGAGCATGAATTGGTGGAGTGACAGTTCTGTTGTGTCTAGGGGAAGTGCAGGCCTCTGCCCCTGCCTACCGTGCCCACAGGTCAGCTGCACTCCACCTCAGCACCAGTCTAGCTGCAGCACATGCCACAGGAGTGGGTCCACTTCCCTAAATACTCCCGCTCAGGGACCCTGACTGTCTAGTAACTGAGTGTGCTTAAATGGTTACATGTTTACTATTTGAGGTCAGCCCAGTTAAGATTTCACAGCGAAACTTACTCCTGAGATGATACGTTAACTATCCCACCCTTAGCTTCATCCAGACTAGTCACCCTCATCAAACTTATTTTCTGCTTCAGAACCATTGAGAGCAGTCACCTGGACTCTCCTCTGTAGGTGTCCTTCGAGTTGCAGACATAGGGATCTCCCATTCGCTGGCTGAGATTTCCTTTGCCACCTCACATGCCTTGTATCTCAAATGGAGCTTGCCTGCCAGATTGTCACACACCTGCTCCTCACTGGCTCCTGTGTTCAGCAGTAGCTTCAGTGTCTCTCTGCCGCTCACTTAGGGAGGAACTCCCGGCACTGTCAGCCCCTGTCCTCCAGCTGCCATCTGTCTGCCTCTGCACCGTCTCACACCCTTGCTCTGCTCCAGTTACTGTCCGGAGGTCCCTAGTTTTGTGCTCCCAGCCCTGTCTCTGCAGGGCAGCGTGAACACAGAGACTTGTTCAGAACTTGAGTCTGACTCCCTGATCCCCAGGTAGTAGGAGAGCGCCCCTTAGTCAGGGGTCTTCTGCCATCAGGTTCCAACTTGCCTTCCACGCAGCACCAACTCTTTTCTCTCCTGTAAAGTTTTGGAAGCTGTACTTCTAGATTGGTTACATTAAAAAAATTATTCTCTGTCACTGTACACAAAATAGCAAGGGCATGGTGTACACGGTGAGTAGGAGTTTGAGCACCAAATTGTCTTATTTGACAGAGTGCATCCTGTTGGGGAGATGGGTTCCTTTTAAAACGTGCTTGCTTAAAGCATTATTAATTGTTAAAATAAAAAAGGACAAAACAAAAAAGAGCCCTATCTATGGCAGTAGATTGTGTCCATGTGCACATGGTTAAATACCATTTTGGAGACAAGAGACAGAAAGATGAGGGGTGGAGTGTTGCGGTGGGGGGCGGTACAGCCTGACATTAACCAAGGAAGAGGAGGACAATTGGTGGTTGTTAAAGTTTCTGTTCCCTTTATATTCTTTATCCTCAAGTTACAACACCCCCTCACCCAGTTCCTTTAAAAAATGTGATACTTAGTGCGGTTTGTTTGTAGGCCTCTGCCAAGACATTACCCAAGCTTCTTTCTCCCCAGGCACTGACAAAAGGCACCGAATTGTATTTTGAATTTTTGAGAAGCCTGACTATTATAACTATCCAATAAAGGCATCAGCAAGAATTGGGTTTTCACATTCTAAAAATAAAAACTAAAAGTAAATGTCTTCTGATTAATATATCAGCCCTACAGACATCTTTATTTGTTTTATCCAAGTATTTAATAGTTCTGCCAAGAAAACAGAACATTTTTTTGGTTTTAAAAAATGCAGTGGTGGTTTAATAATGTTATAAATATCCAGCATGTCCCACTTCATTACAATTAACTTTCTATCATTACAGTATTTTAGATGTAATATTTTGGGCAGTCAGATCTTTTAAATGTTTGGAAAACAAAATAGAATAGTTGTAATTTAGGAATAATTTATTTAAAATACATGTTTCCTCCACATATTTGAACAATCTGTTCAAAACACAGCTCATTCATGTGGGACTTTGCCTGTGCAACTCTGAGTGGGAATCAGTACTTTCTTTGTTCGTCACTATGGAAACAAGCCAGCCTATCCTGAATGGCTGTTAGATCATGCAGAGTGATGCTCTTATCTCAGTGTAACTTCATCACGGAGCAAGCTGGCACTGACATCTCCTGGCCTCCAGCTCTCCTCTTGGGGGCCCACCGCCATGCAGGACCCGCCCCGGCGGCTCTCGGCCATGCCCTTCCTCAGCTCCTTCTTACAGGGCCGCCGGCACTCCGCCTCAGACACAGTACTGAGGCTGCCGCAGGGGCAGCACAGCTCCGGCTCCGGCTCCGGCTCCGCCACCAAGATGCTCTCCTCATCCTCTCTCCAGGTGATGCTAGCTGTGTCCTCTCTCAGCTGCGCCAAGAGAAACCCAACTAGCCCCGAGAGAAAAAGTAAAACTCCTTTTCTTCTTAAAGATTGCCTCAACTTTGAGTTTAAATTTAAGGAATGTGAAAAGGCTGTGCTGTGCTTATACCTTTTTAATTTTTGACCATTCTGCATTATACTTTTTACTGTCTGTCATGCTGAGAGTTTCAGTGGATATATAATAGATAAAATGATTGACTGTTGTGTGTTTTTTCTTTAAAAATGTAGTTCTGAACAAACCTCACTCCCTTATAAAAGATCTGCTTTTATGGTTTCTTCTCTTTGTGACCAGTATGACATGTGGAGATGTGTACGAAAGAGTTTCCTACATTAAGAGATAGTGAACTTAGATGCAATGGAAATGGATTTAATCTTGACACAGTAAAGGGTGGTCAGCACCAGCTCCTCATCTGCAATCTGAGATAAAATGGAAGCCGTTTCCCAGGTCGCTGTTCTGTTTGGAGTGTGGAGTTTCAAATCCCTTCCTGCATGTTCTAGGCAATTCAGGACGTCCAACACCAAAGTATACAAAAGTCGGAGAGCGTTTACGGCATGTCATTCCTGGACACATGGCCTGCTCCATGGCCTGTGGGGGCAAAGCTTGCAAATATGAAAATCCAGCCCGCTGGAGTGAGCAGGAGCAGGCCATTAAGGGGATCTACTCGTCCTGGTGAGTGATTCTGTCAGTCTGCTGTAGCTCTTCCCTGCGGCTAAGTTGAAAAAGGTAGTGAAGATGTATGTGGTGCTGGGTGGCAGGAGGCCATGGAAGAGGATGTATGGGGTTTTGAAGTCAGAACCTTACCTCCCATCTCTTGCTGCCTGACAAGCTGTGGCCTACTCACGTAGGCACTCTGAACCTCAGTTTTCTCATCTGTGAAATGGAAATAATATAACCAATGCCATGGGGTCTTTTTTTAATTAAGTGAAATAATGTATGTAAATATCTTAAAGAAATGGTAACTAGATAGCTCTTAAATTTCAGAAATTGCTAGAAAAAATAAAAATGCTAAGCTATAAATTTGAAAAATTATGAGGTAGTTTCTAATTTCATACAGGTAAGCTTTAACCTTACTTTAATTTTGGTCCTATTCTCTGTGTGAAAGGACCCACTTTCACTCAAATACATCTTCAGCCTGCCTCAATAGGAGTGGTCCAAGTTGTGAGTTCAGTGGGCAGTATAAAATGCTTGCATTTTTTATGGTTTATTAATAGTAAACTGTCAAGTAGACCTTTTCAATTTAGTGATACCTGAAAAGTTTTGATAATCAGACCAAATCCCATTTGAAAATCACTGTTTAAAGAATTCTAGTGATGAACCAATGTATATAGCAAGAATCCATTTACAAATTAGATAATTTGTTGACCAGAGTCTCTTAACTTGCAACCCATACTTTTTCATACTGGATTTGCTGGGTACATGGATTTTGATAATGTTGGGGGTCCACTGTCACTGTTCTGCATATCATATTCTAGTCCGTCACTGTCTTTCTTAAAGAACCTTGTGAGAAAGCCAACACTATTCCTGATGTAATTTCTAATAATGCAGCTTAAGGCCACATTAATATTTTTATTTGTTTTTTACTGAACCATCGGAATCTTTTGTTTTGCCTCTGCTGATATCATGTTACATCTCTCCTCATCTCATACCAAGTACTATTAAATCTTGGGGGTTCCAACGTTTTGGGGAGCCCTGTTGAATTTCAGGCATTACGCCGGGGGTGGGGGGGGAGTTGGTATCTTTTCGGATCCTGCCCTGTTTATTTAATGTCACTCCTCTCAGGTCATGTGACCCACATCTTTGGGTAGACTGCCTGGTGTGCCTTTTACGTAGCCATTTCTTAGGTCTCCGTCCGTTTGTGCAGTCAATAAACATGCATTTGGCTACAGGCAAGGCACTGTGCTAGACACTTTCAAATTATTACCTCCTCTTCCTCAAACTATTGTGAAGTAGGCATTGGTAAAGTCATTTTATTGGTGAAGAAATTGAGGTCCAGAGAAACTAAGTAATGTGCTACACAGCTTTTAGAAAGTAGAAAAGACAGCATTTGAAACCAGGCCCAACTGATTCCAGAAATCTTATTTTTTGCTAAATTGCAATAACTCAGCATTTATTAATAACCATGTGTGGGGATTTTTGCTGAAGACTTTACATCTGTTTCATGTTGAATTCTTACACCAACCGTCCAAGGAGGTGTTTTTATTCCATTTAACACATAGGTAGCTGAACTGCAGATAGCTCAAGAACTGAAAATGCCTCCTGTTGTCCCCCTCACTTGGTTAAAAACTTATGGATAATGAACCTCACCTTTGCGCAGTTGAGGTTTCTCCATCATGTCCACTAGAATCTCTTGAGTGTCCTTGAAAATGTTTTGTTGCAGTCCATACTTAGGCCCTGGAATTTTCCCAGAGATTTAAGCAGCTAGGTAGGGTTTTTTTTTTAGAGCCCTAATCATAATGCAAAATTTAGGCCAGATTTGGATAAGGAGATTTTTATCTTACAGAGTTTTTGAAATCCTAAAAAAAAGTAGTGGCTAGTTACCATGCTCTCAGTCCATGGAGCTGGAATGGTCTAGGTTTTGTGATTTCACCAGTCTTTTCTCCCATCTGTAGGATCACTGATAACATCCTGGCCATGGCTCGCCCGTCCACTGAGCTCCTTGAGAAATACTGCGTCATCGAGCAGTTTCGGAGGTAAAATGTCATATTGTTCATACACTTTAATAATCCAGCTCATGTTTTCTCTTCCATTGCTTTTGGCATCGATGGAAAAGTGTTTTCATTTTATCAATAAGTGTAAAGAACGTATTTCAAATAAGATATTTGAGAATAATTCATACTGTTTATTAATGCTAAAAGTGATTACTTTTTTTTTAAATGCTAGTTAATTCCCAGTATGACTCATTCTTTTCTTTTTCTTTTAAGCCATGGCTTAAAAACAGTCATTAACCTGCAGCGGCCTGGTGAGCATGCCAGCTGTGGGAACCCTCTGGAACAAGAAAGTGGTTTCACGTACCTTCCTGAGGCTTTCATGGAGGCTGGCAGTAAGTCCTTCCACCCTTCTCTCCGTGAGTTACCAAGACAGTACTCAGAGACTTTGGTCTGCTCAGCTCTTAGCTTTAAAGGTGATGGAAATAACTGTGCAGTAGTAGGGCTCCTAAACATGAAGATGAGCTCACTTTAAAGAATGCTGCCATTCTTCTGTGGTATTGCTGTTGAAAGGGCAGGCTTCCTTCTTCTGTGAGAGGGACCTTGAAAGGAGACCCTGTAGAAATAATGGTAACATTTGATTAGTGATTGCATTAACATTCACAGTATGTCAGACCTGTTATCTCATTTTATCCTTAAAGCAGTCTAGTAACATAGCTGTTTCTGCTTCACCCAGGCTTAGCAAATTCTGCTTTGCCCACAGTCACACAGCCTAGCTGTGTTAGCAGGATTGGAACCCAGGACTCGCTGATGCTTTTGTTTCGGCACAGCAGTTCTGCCCCTGGGTAGGATGCTAGGATTCCTTATGTGACACTTTCAGAAGCTCCTTAGTCATGAGAACTTTGGGGTGGGATCCCACCAGGTTAGAAAGGATCAACCTGTGCGATTTTAGAACTTTTTTAAAGAAGTTTTTATCTAGCTCTTTTTTCCCCACTGGGTGGAAAAATCTGTACCATCTTCTGCCGTTTATCAGTCATTTCGACTATGCTTAACCAGGATTATGCTTTCTCTCCAGAGCTGAGGCATTTGGGTGTAGATTACTGACTTTATTAATTTGCAATCCTGCTTTTCCATAATTCTTTCTGGCTGAGTTTCAGCAGGAAATGCCTTAAGTAATAGGGAATGTGCTTTGTAAGAAATGTTAACAATAAACTTACTGGAAATGTAAAAAGCCTATTATTCTAGGCCTACACATCTAGTAAGATCTGCGTGCCTTACAGTTTTCTACTCTTCATGAATTCACTCACTTTCTTCACATATCCTTGCAAATATCTTTCCTGTATGTTGATGCTTTTTTCCTATTCTCTTTTCATTGCCCAGTTTATTTCTACAATTTCGGATGGAAGGATTATGGTGTAGCGTCGCTTACCACCATCTTAGATATGGTGAAGGTGATGACATTTGCCTTACAAGAAGGAAAAGTAGCTATCCATTGTCATGCAGGGCTTGGTCGAACAGGTAAATTCTAGGAGGTTGTTTTATTGCCTTGTGGTATATTTAAACATATAAAGAATAATATTTTTAATATCCAATGTCTTTAAAAATAATAATGAAAATAGCAAGCATTGTTTTACCTACTGTTCTACGCATTTTACACTTACTGTCTTAATAAATCTTTAGCAACAATGTGAGTTTTGAAAAGACTAAGCAATTTGCTACATCAAGTAAGTGGAAGGGCCAAGATTTAAATTCATAACTGTCCGAATTTTGTTTGTGAAGGAGAGTCTATCCATGCCTAGAATTCTACATAAAAATCAATTATTTTACTTAAACAGGCAGCAGAATCTCAGTGCCATGCTGATATTGGACAGAAATAAAGACTGATGAGTTGGAACCTTCATTACCATTTGGTTCAACCAGACACCTGAGCTTGACTCTGGCCATAGTGTACCTGTGTACCTGCCATGGAGTCTCCCACCTGCTCAGGAGCTTCGTTAGGGGAATGTATAATGTTTATACTGTTTCCCTTAATGTAAAGTGCTTATAGCAATATAGTGTTATATCATGGTATGGAAAAAAACACATATTCATGTAGAGACAAGTCTATAAGAAGAATTGTCAGGGGGAAAAATAGATTGTGAATGTGAATGCTTCCCAAATTTAAAAATGTCCAGTTTGGCAGAATGCCAGGCAGGAATATTCCAGCAACTGATGGCAAAGGCAGTGTATGGATCCATTGGATGGAAATTTTCAGAAACTGTTAAATGGGAAATAGAAGCGGGATTTTATTTCTCCCATGTTAGAGTTGAGCATAAGAGGATAAACATGCTAGATCACCTCCCCTTACTCCCCAATTACTCAGTCATTCCCCTATTTCACACTCAGTGATTCCCCCCAACTCCACGCTGACTCCCCTTACTCCACACTTAGTCATGCCCCACTCCCTCCGCAATTACTGCATCATCCCCCCTTACTCCACACTTAGTCATGCCCCACTCACTCCGCAATTACTGTATCATCCCCCCTTACTCCACACTTAGTCATCCCCCACTCACTCCACCATTACTCCGTCATCCCCCGTTACTCCACACTTAGTCATGCCCCACTCACTCCACCATTACTCCATCATCCCCCCTTACTCCACACTTAGTCATGCCCCACTCACTCCACCATTACTCCGTCATCCCCCGTTACTCCACACTTAGTCATCCCCCACTCACTCCACCATTACTCCGTCATCCCCGGTTACTCCACACTTAGTCATCCCCCACTCACTCCACCATTACTCCGTCATCTCCCCTTACTCCACACTTAGCTTCACTGCGACAATTTCTGTGCTTCCTCTGGGTACAGTGGGCACTGAGTGTTCTCAGTCAAGGCAAGGGGTACCATAGAGACAAATAAATATATAAGCACCTTTGCAAAAAGTTACAAAGTTATGTTATCCTTAAAACGTTTTCCTATTTATATGGTTTCTAAACACATATAAAATTTAAATCATCTGAGAGTGATAAATAAAAATATATATAAGCTTTTCTCATCTAGTTTTTTCTTCTTCACCATGTAGGTGTTTTAATAGCTTGTTACTTAGTTTTTGCAACAAGAATGACTGCTGATCAAGCCATTATATTTGTTCGGGCAAAGCGTCCCAATTCCATTCAGACTCGAGGACAGCTACTGTGTGTGAGGGAATTTACTCAGTTTCTGATTCCTCTTCGCAACATATTCTCTTGCTGTGACCCCAAAGCACATGCTGTCACCTTAACACAGTACCTGACTCGCCAGCGGCATCTACTTCATGGTTATGAGGCGCGACTTCTGAAACACGTGCCAAAAATTATCCACCTTGTGTGCAAATTGCTGCTCGACTTAGCTGAGAACAGGCCCATAGTGACAGAAGTGGTAGAAGCGCCTGGCCTCTCAGCCGAAATTGAAAAGACTGTTTCGGAGGTGGTCACAATGCAGCTGGATAGAGAGTTACTGAGGCACGACAGTGAGGCATCGGACTCCTTCACTCCCACTGCAGTGGCGGCAGACGTTGAGAATCAGGATATGATTCTTTCCAGTGAGCAAGAGTTTGACCCTCTGTGGAAGAGACGGAATGTGGAGTGCCTTCAGCCCCTGACTCACCTGAAAAGGCAACTCAGCTACAGCGACTCAGATTTACAGAGAGCCGAGTCACTTCTGGAGCAGTCAGGGACCCCGTGGACAGCATCTGCTCAGATCTCATTCTGCCACATCCCTAGGCAGCGGATGCCCACAGGCCACTGTGACACCCCACAGACTCCACAGCTGGATTTCAATAAGGAAATGCTGGTCCACAATACATTTTCTTTCTGGAATCCAACTAAATTTGGAGGGTTAGAACGACTGAAAGATGACGGGTCACCAATTTTCCAAAGGAAGAATATTCCAAAGGAAGTGCAGCGAAGTAGAACCTTCTCTTCAGGTGTTTCAGGTTCATCCAACCCTGGGGAACCAGTTACACCCAACGTTGCAGATATCCCCAAAAAACCACACTGTTCTCCCCAGCAAGGGACCCCATGTCAGTGTGAAGTTCATGGTGGCCGCAGCAGTCCTGTGGACTATGGCTCCAGCCCCAAAGCACAGTCCTCGGTTGGACCTAAAACACAGAGCAGCAAAGATGTGCCTGAAGTCGCTCCACACACTGCTCTACAGTCTGAATTGAGTGTTGAAGAAAGGAGAATACTGGCAGCCAAAGCCCTGGCAAACTTAAGTGAGTTTGCAGAAAAGGAGGAAGTAAAAAGGAAGGTAGAAATGTGGCAGGTATTTGCATTTCACTTAATTACATATGCAAAAACATCATTCATTTTCCCAAATTTACTTGTATAATTATGAAGACATGTTTGTTATAATACTTTCGAACTTCAGGTTTCTCAGCTGTAATCGGAGCCCGATGTCATAGAAATGACAGACTTTCTTCAGTCTCCTGTGGAAGAAAGCACTTAGCACTGGCAGGGTGCCTGAGTGAGAGAGGCGTGGATAGGACTGATATTAGTAGCTTCCTTCTTTCTTGCTGGGTTTGTGGGATAGACTGACAGGCAGATGTACAGGCCATAGCAGACAGCTGTAAACTGACCTGAAACATCTCTAGGCCAACCCAAGGCCTAGCAGTGAGAACACTGACCCATAAATGAAATCAGAGAAGATTCTTTTACAAAGGTCATCCATACAAGTGTTGAGTGAGGTCTGGAGGGAGCATGACAGATGCCATTTGCTCAGCATTCCCTCTGCAGACTCCCCGGTCCTGCCCCAGTGGCTCCTGTCAGATCTGGAAAGCAAATGGAAGCAACTACAGAGTACCTGTGTGCCGTGGGTTTCTGAGGTTAGGTCTTTTGGGTCCCTTTCTTGGCTTTTACTTGAAATTTAAAATTTTAACCCTTTTTTGAGTAGTACTTTCACTAGAAAGACAGTCTTAAATCAACCACACTCTCTGCCCTGAATGAGCAGCTGATCTAGAGGAAAGGCAGGCCTTATAAACTTAGTTATCAGAACAGATCAACTGCCCAATGTGGGGCTGACCCAGGGAGACCTGGCTTAGTGAAATCTTGACTTGTTAGCCCATAATCAACTACAAGTTATTTGTATAGCGGCTCTTCTATATCCTGCCATTAGTTAAGCAAGGTGTGTACGCTTTTGAGGAAGGCCAGAACCTTCCTGCTGCAGAGGAAGGAAAATAGACATGGAACCTCGCGTCAGCTTATAACTGTGTGATGAGAGGAGAGCACCTCACACACTTTCACCATCAGAATTGGTTTGCTTAGTCAATAGTTAAATGTGGTGGGTTGATGTTGGTTTTTTTTCAACATGGAGCGTGTTCTTTATTCCCTACTCATACCTGAACAAGCCTTCCACCCAGTGGCCAGGTCTTGCTGCTGCGTTGCTGTATGTCATGGTAGCTAGCAGCAGACCCTTTAGCTTTCAGTGTGACAGCTCATGCCCCTCATGGGCCAGCCCCCTCTGTGCCCACACTGCTCAGTGTGGTACATGGGCCACATTGTTTCAACATGTAACATATATGAAAGCATTTTCTAGAGGTAAATACTACTGTTTTGTTTGGATAGGTTTGCCTTTTTTTTCTTTCTTAGAGTTTATTATAAGGCTTTCAGTAATAAAAACAAATTAATTGAATTCTGGAAAGAGTAAACTAAGAGGACTTCTGGTCAAGATGGCAGAAGGTAATTGCCTTCTTCCACAATCACATCAAAATTACAACTGAACTACAGAAAAACCATCATTCAAAACCGCCTGAAACCTAGCTGAACAGAACTCCTATAACTAAGGATATAAGGAAGAAGCCATGTGAAGACTGGTAGCAGGGGCAGAACTCAGAACAGAACAGGTTGGTCCTACACCCATAGTGTGACAGTTTTAAATAAGGAGGGATATCTCCACTGCAGAGGTTCCCCCTGAGGAGCAAGGGGCCTAGCCCCACACCACATTCCACCAGTCCTATATTCCAGTCTAGGAGGAGGAGTTCCCATAACTTCTGGCTGTTAATCCAGCACAGATGGTGACTAAATGAGATGGAGGGCTCCTGGAGTCCCAGGCATTCCACTTAGAGGGCCTGTGCATAGACTTAGACTCACAGCAGCTTGAAATGTGCCAGGAACATACAGGGAGGAACTACAGCGAGCAAGGGCTGGAGGGGCAGCTTTCCCCTAGACAGAAGTGCTGTCAGAGACCATATTTCCTTTGCTGAGCCCTCCCCCATAGAGCCTGCAAGTGGACATCATATCTGAGTCTCCATCAACCTGGCTAACACTGTTTGCTCTTCCCTGGTGATTCCCTGAGACCCTGCTCCACCCAAATTCCAGGCCCACCCAAGCTGTTTCCAGTGGCTTTTCTATACTAACAGCCTGTCTTGGCTCATGCTGCAGAGTTTCCTAAAATCTCAAACAAGCAGCATCTGGCCTCAGCATGCCCCATACCTCTTGCTAAGTGGCCCCTAACTTGACACTATTGGCAGCCAGCCTTGGTAGGGAGCTTGGCCTCTCCCAATCACCTTCAAGCCTAGCATAAGTAGCAGCCATCTGCAGATCGCTTTGTAGCTCATGTCCGGTGGCCCTGGGCAGGGCATAGGCAGCAGTTGACCTTGCCCTGCACCTTCTGGAGGCCCCAGAGCTAGCACACCTGTTGGACAGCTTCAGAACACGCCAAAGCACCACCCAACCACCTCCATAAGTGACACTCAACCACACTCAAAATGTGGTTGGTCTCAGTGGGCATCAGAGCCCCACTGAAGCAAATCCTGCTCCATGGGGTCAGCCCCTGCACAGCAGAGCCTCCATAGAGGTCATGGCCAGTCTTTACGGCAAAATGGCCTGTGGGTAAGTTTTTCCCATTGACATACCAATAGCAATACATTACAACAGGAGGGTGCACACAGTTCACACGGACACACCGGAGAGGCTGTGCCACTGGGTTCTTTAGGACACCTGCTACATAATCCACTGCACCAAGACTAGGAGACAGCAGCTCTGCCTAACACATAGGAACAAACACAGGGAAGCAGTTAAAATGAGGGGACTAGGAACCATCCCAAGTGAAAGAACAAAATGCCAGAAAAAGGAACTAAACAAAAATGGAGACAAGCGATCTACCAGATGCAGAGTTCAAAACACTGGTTATAAGGATGCTCAGTGATCTCAGTGAGAACTTCAACAAAGAGATAAGCATAAAAATGGAGAGAGAAAATGTGAAAGAACCAGTCAGAAATGAAGAATACATTACATGTAATCAGTAGAGTATGAGCAGAGGATCAAATCAGCAATTTGGAAGATAAGGAAACAGAAAATACCCAATCAAACAGCAAAAAGAAGAATTCAAAATAGTGAGGATAGTATAAGTAGCCTCTGGGACAACTTCAAGTATACCAACATTCACATCATGGGGGTGCTGGAAGGAGATGAGAAAGACCAAGGGTTTAAAAACCTGTTTCAGAAAATGATGGAAAACGTCCCTAACCTGGTGGAGGGAATAGACATACCAGTCCAGGAAGTACAGAGAGCCCCAACCAAGATGAACCTAAATAGGCCCACACCAAGACTCATCATAATTTAAATGCTGAAGGTTAGGCCCACTATGCCTGTGCACTGCGCCCAGCAGGAGGGTTGTAGCTCTGATCGGTGGTGGGAAGGACAACTGTTACAATACGATGCAGTGCATTGCTGCTGTGCATTAGATTGTTGTTTTAGCAAATCTAAGACCAGCTGAAAACCAAGTGGGGTCAGGTGAACTGGATAGCTACATGTATCAGACAGTGGGTCCGCATGCCATTGATTTGTATGAAGAAGCAATGGCTCTTCCCCCTCTGTTGCCGTACCATAAGAGAAAGGAGTGTGGGTACAGGATGAGTGTACACCAAGTGTGAAGGTGATGAGGCTGAAGATCTCCATGAGCTTTGAAACTTCAGGAAAAAGAAGCGGAAGGAATGTCAGTAGGTTCTGTACTTTCTGGTTATCAGCATGTTTAGTAGAAAATGTGTGTAAAGGCTTAATTTTCAGCCTTTAGCTTACCTTTGGTAGAGAAACCAAAATTTGCTCTGAGCGATGACAGGCTCTAACATTCAGGCAATCATCATAAAAGTAGCAGCTTTGGGTTTAGACCCAGATAAGCATTTAGGAAAAACCCTACATCAAATGGAGCCTTATCTCAGTGCTTTCTAAGAAATATGGAGTCCATGTTTGTGGGGAATGTGAAAAGTTCACATTGGATTGCCTATTATTTAAGAAGAAAATAATAAGAAGTAGTCATACATTCAGCTGATGCATTTGCACCTGTGGCTTAACTACCCGTTTAGAATTGCACTTGGCGGACAAGGTGTTCCCAGTGCCTGACAACTTCAGAACATCTTAAAAAGTATTTTTGATCGTTTACTGAGCTGCCATTTTTATATGAAAAAAATTACATAGCATTTTCTCAATTATTATGTCCAGCTTTTCCTCATTACAGTTTTCAATTTTAAAAAATATAGATCAGCCCTAACCTGTTTGGCTCAGTGGATAGAGCATCGGCCTGCGGACTCAAGGGTCCCAAGTTCGATTCTGGTCAAGGGCATGTGCCTTGGTTGCGGGCACATACCCAGCGGGGAGTGTGCAGGGGGCAGCTGATTGATGTTTCTCTCTCATCGATGTTTCTAGCTCTCTGTCCCTCTCCCTTCCTCTTTGTAAAAAATCAATAAAAATATATTTTAAAAAATATATAGATCATCAGCCTATCCAGTTTAGCTCAGTGGATAGAGCATCAACCCACAGACTGAAGGGTCCCGGGTTCAGTTCTGGACACATACCTTGGTTGCAGGCTCGATCCCCAGCCCTGGTCAGGCACATATGGGGAGGAACCAATCGATGTGGCTCTCTCACATCAATGTTACTCCCTCTCTCTCTCTCCCCCTCCCACGCTCTCTAAATTCAATGGAAAAATATCCTTGGGTGAGGATTCCCATCAGAAAAAGTTAATAGAACCATTTTGTTGTTATTAATCCTCACCCAAGGATATTTTTTTCATTGTGTTTTTAGAGAGAGTGGAAGGAGGTGAGGGGGAGAGAGAGAGAGAAACATCAATGTGAGAGAGACACATCGATTGGTTCCTCCTGTATGCACCCTGACCCAGCTGGGGATCACCTGCAGTCGAGGTACATGCCCTTGACTGGGGATTGAACCTTTGACCCTTTGGTGCACAGGCCAATGCTCTAACTACTTAGTCATGCTGGCTAGGGCAATAGAACCATTTATTAATCGGGGAAATGTGAATGCCTCTTCATTATGTTGTCAAGTTACTCTGGATTCACTCTGACTTTTGTTCATCTATTCATGTCTTTTTTTGATATGTGCCTTTTTATTTTTTTTTACTTTTGCTTCATATACAACGCTCGTTTCTATGATACCTTTTCTTTCATCACACAGGTTTATTTTCTTCTTTATCTCTTTCCTGCTCTCATCTCTGCCAGTAATATCATGGTGCAGAGGCATTTGAAAATGAGGGTGAAAAGACAATCACTTTATTTAGTCAATCAAATTTATTCTATTGGGTGTCACCAAAGTGCTCTATCATTTTTGTTTTCAGTACATTCATTATTTCAACATTATTGGACTATATTTCAGTGAGGGAGGGAGGGAGGGAGAGAGAGAGAGAGAGAGAGAGAGAGCGAGAGAGAAACATCAATGATTGAAAGAGAATCATTGATCGACTGCCTCCTGATCCCACAACCGGGGCATGTGCCCTGACCTGGTTCATAGATTGACACTCAACCATTGAGCAGCAACTTTTCAGTATTACTTGTGCTGACTTCAGACAACTTTTTTAAAATAGCTAAAGTTGAGCAGAACATAAAGTGTTCCCACATACCCACTTCCCCCAACACAAATACAATTTCCCCATAATCAACATCCCCCACCAGTGTGGTTCCTTTGTTACAATTGATGAATTATGGTGTAAACTCTGAATTTTGTGGCATTATGATAGTACATGGACATATGGTCACCCGGGGTTCATAGTTTACATTATGATTCACTCTTGGTGTTTATTGTACATTGAGCAGATACATAATGACATGTATTCATCACTATGTATTATACCGAATATTCTCACTGCCCTAAACATATTCCATGCTCCACCTATTCATTGCTTATCCCCACTGCTTCTGGCAACCATTCATCTTTTTTACTGTCTCCATAGTTTTGCCTTTTCCAGAATGTCATATAGTTGGGTTAATATAGTATGTTGGCATTTTAGATTGGCTTCTTTCACTTAGTAATGTGCATTTAAAGTTCCTTCATAGCTTTTCATGAGTTTTTAAGTGCTAAATAATATTCCATTAACTGGATATACCAAAGTTTATTTATGCATTCACCTACTGAAGGACATCTTGGTTACTTCCAAGTTTTTGCAATTATAAATAAAGCTGCTATAAAACAAAAATAAATAAAATGTTAAAGATTAACGACAGATAATCTTAAAAGCAGCAAGAGAAAAGCAATTAGGATGCACTTCCAGTGTTGCCATGGCGGCTAACGCTACCACTAACCCATTGCAGCTGATGCCTCTCTCACAGCGGTTCTCAACCTGTGGGTCACGACCCCTTTGGCGGTCGAACGACCCTTTCACAGGGGTCGCCTAAGACCATCCTGCATATCAGATATTTACATGACGATTCATAACAGTAGCAACATTACAGTTATGAAGTAGCAACGAAAATTTTATGGTTGGGTCACAACATGAGGAACTGTATTTAAAGGGCCAGAAGGTTGAGAACCACTGCCTAGAGCTTGTGGACAAGTGTATAGGATCAAGAATTCAAATCGCGATGAAGAGTGATAAGGAAATTGTTGGCACACTTCTAGGATTTGATGACTTTGTCAATATGGTACTAGAAGATGTCACTGAGTTTTAAATCACACCAGAATGAAGAAGGATCACTAAATTAGGCCAGATTTTGCTGAATAGAAATAATATAACAATGCTGGTTCCTGGAGGAGAAGGACCTGAAGTATGAATGGATTTCTTTGACTTACGTTAGATTCTGTTTTGTCTTATACTGACAACAAAATATCATTTTTTTTAACCTTTCACTATCTAGATTTTGTGAAGCCACGTTTCCCGTTAAAGGGGAATGCTTTGAAGAGGCATTTAAATGCCATTTTTTAAGTTAATCATGTTTAACTTGGAAGGAAAAGAACATTAAAGACTAAAATAAAGGTGGTTTGGGTTAATTGTCATTTTATTTATTATACTGCAATAACCATTGGAACAAAGCTTATGGTCATTTTGTCAGTTGCTCTCTTGTCATTTTACATCTGTTTCCTTACTTATAGGACCATTTGGTTCTCAAAAATTGTTCCAAACAGAATGGTGAACTTTTAATTTTGAACAGGTGCATTTAACCCCTGAAATTATTCAATTCAGTTCAAACTGTGATGCTTTGAAATTAGGATTTTTCTACTGCACTCAAGTTTCAGTAACTTCTTTTAAAAACAAACAAGTAATCTGTGCACATTGTAGAAATGCAGACAAATGAAAACATCATACTTTGATGTCTATCCTCTTAGACTTTCTCGGTACACATTTTATATTTTATTTTATTTTAATGTATTTTATTGATTTTTTACAGAGAGGAAGGGAGAGAGATAGAGAGTTAGAAACATCGATGAGAGAGAAACATCGATCAGCTGCCTCCTGCACATCTCCTACTGGGGATGTGCCCGCAACCCAGGTACATGCCCTTGACCGGAATCGAACCTGGGACCTTTCAGTCTGCAGGCCGACGCTCTATCCACTGAGCCAAACCGGTTTCGGCCACATTTTATATTTTAAACAACTTGTTTGCCCTGCTTACACTGTTCTGTGGCCTCCATTGAAGACTTTTTAAAAATTTAAGTGGTGAATGTCTTTCCATGTCATATTTCAGCAACATTAATGTGTGCACAGTATTTCATTAAATGGGTTTACCATAATTTATTTAGCCTATTATTATTGGCCACAGTAATCTAACTAAATCTTTATACATTTTCATTTTTCTTAGAAAACGTTCAGAAGTATGTACTGTCAAAAGGTATATATTGTCATGTTGCTAACAAAACGTTTATAATTGGTGTTTTATACTTTACATACCACCATTGGCTGTGTTCTCTCTTCTCTCTTTGTCATTGTGATAGGCAAAACTTAGTATGTTTAAAATTTTCTTTATTAATTTTGTAGTTTGTGGATTATGTCTATGAGGCTTTTGCCATTGAGATGCTTGTCTTGTCTTTTACTAATTTGTAAGAATTTTAAATAGGTTCTTCTTAGTCATGTGTTTTGCAGGTAAATTCCCCAGTTTGTAGTTTGCCTGTTAGAGGTACATTTTTGACATAAATAAAAAATATTTTATGTAGTCAAAAAAGAGAGAGAGAGAGAGAGAGAGAAAGAAAAGCAATTAGTTACTTACAAGGGAGCTCCTGTAAGACTGTCAGCTGATTTCTCAACAGAAGCTTTATAGACCAGAAGAGATTGGCATGAAATATTCAAAGTGATGAAGAGCAAGGACCTTGCAGCCAAGATTATTCCACCCAGCAAAGCTATCATTTAGAATTGAAGGACAGATACAAAGAGCTTCCCATACAAGAAAAAAACTAAAGGATTTCATCACCAACAAACCAGTATTATAAGAAATGTTAAAGGGTCTCCTTTAAGAAGAAGGAAAAAAAAGATAAAAAATATGAATAATAAAATGGCAAGAAATATATATCTGTCCATTACTTTAAATGGTTTAAATGCTTCAATCAAAAGACATCAGGTGGCTGAATGGATAACAAAACAAGACCCAAACATATGCTGTCCACAGGAGACTCACCTCAGATCGAAAGACAGACACAGACTGAATATAAAGGGGTGGAAAAGATAGTTCATGAAAATAGAAATGGGGAAGAAAAAAAAGCTGGGGTAGCAAAACTTACACTGGACAAAATAGACTTTAAACAAAGGTTATAACAAAAGACAAGGAAGAACCCAGCAATTGCACTTCTGGGTATTTATCCAAAGTAACACAAAGCACTAAATCAAAAAGATGTATACATCCATAGGTTCATTGCAGCAGCATTTACAGTAGCTAAGATATGGAGCAACATAAGTGTCCATCAACAAATGAATGGATAAAGAAGAAGTGGTGAATACGTACAATGAATATGACTAAGCCATAAAAAAAGAATGAAATCTTACCATCTATAACAATATGGATGGACCTAGAGCAGTGGTTCTCAACCTTCCTAATGCCACTACCCTTTAATACAGACAGTTCCTCATGTTGTGGTGACCCCCAATTTCATTGTTACAAATTGAACATAATTAAAGCACAGTGATTAATCACAAAAACAATATGTAATTATATATGTGTTTTCCGATGGTCTTAGGCGACCCCTGTGAAAGGGTCGTTCGACCCCCAAAGGAGTCGAGACCCACAGGTTGAGAACCGTTGACCTAGAGGGTGTTGTGCTGAGTGAAATAAACCAGACAGAGAAAGACAAATGTCAGACGATTTCACTTGTATGTGAAATCAGAAAAGGAGAACAGGCAGAACAGAAACAGATTCATTGATACAGGGAATATTGATGCTTGCCAGAGGAGAGGGGACTTGGGGGACTGGGTGGAAAAGGTGAGGGGATTAAGAAGTAAAAATTGGTAGTTACAAGTAGTCACAGGGAAGTACAGCATAGGGAACATAGTCAATACTGTGTGGTGTATGATGGGTACTAGATTTATCAAGGTGATCACTTTGTAAGTTATAAAGGTCTCATCTGGGCTGTACACTTGAAACTAACATTGTACATCAACTATAATGAAAAATAAAAAATCATTTAAAAGAAAAAGTAAAATGAACATGATTTAAATGGCATAATGCGCCTTGTCCCTATACTAGGCCCTTTCATGTCTTTTATCTCCTGATTTCACAGGAATACTTTGAGGCAGATGATATTATTCACAGGTTCTTTGTTAATCTATATAGTCCTTATAAATTAAGTATCACAGATGGGGGAACTATGGGTCCCAGGGATCACATGACATGCTTGCAGTCACATGGCCCAAATGCCCCAGAGCAAGATACAGCTCATGTGTTTAATACTTTTCATCATTCTTATGTCTTTCCTAATCCCACTGAAGATTTCAGAAAACATATTGATGTAACGGTCATTTAATAAGAGGGTCTTTGAGTTTTGTCATTTCTGCCCAGCCTGTTTTCTCAAGTTGACTTATTTATGCCAGAGGACCCTGATGGCATGAAGAAACATCACAGACTGGGTGGAGTAGACCTGGTGGGAATGCCTGTTTTGCCCTTTTCTCGATTTGGGCTCCTGGGCAAGTTATTTTATCTTTCCTGAGCCCCAGTACATTTGTCGGTAGAGGGAATTGGGTTGCTGTAGAATCAGGTAAGTCATGTATCAGAGTTCCTATCATAAGGAAAGTGTTCTACAATTACAGAATGGGTGAATGAATGAATGGTAGCGGTTACTATGCTTATTACTATTGCAAGCATATTTCATTTACTAAAACATAAATCTGAAATGTCCTGTCAGAAATTAAAATTCTTATCTCACTTTCCTCTGTTCTCTGTGAGGCAAAGTTTTAAAATCACCTGCCTAAATCATCTCCAGGCATGTGGAGCAGTGGCAAGACTTCCTAGTTGTTTACACCCTATCAAATTTCAGGGTACAGTGCTTATTGTTTGTTAAATGCTACATAGGATTCTAAAGAATTTGAAAGAAGTACATTTATCAACTTTTAGGCATTTTTGGGAATACACTTTAAAGTTTCAGTCAGAAGCTTTTCCTTATCCCAGGTTAATTTGCAAATGTTCTTTTATTTATAATTTTAATCTACCTTTCTACTTCATTGCAGCAAATATTTCTGATTTGTTCCCCAAGACCCTGAAAGGCAGGCTCCCTTCCTGGGCTGTTGCTGTGGTTTTTCAATGAAGTAGAAAGCTTAGGTTAATAACTAAGCCATTCTCTGCACTGGGAGCTTTAGGAGGCCTCAGACTGCTCAACACCTATGGGGCAGGGATGCACTTCATAGAGGGAAACAGGCTTAGAGAGGTTCAATATCTCAACCCAATGTGCCTCCTGGATAGCTTGAGGTTCATCAGATGTCAGATGGAGCCTGCTTCCTCTCCCTCCCTCTCTTCTCTCTTCCTTATCTCTCCTCCCTCTTTCTCTTTTTTTCTTCCTTTCTTTTTAGAAAGAGCTAAATTCCCGAGACGGAGCTTGGGAAAGAATATGTGGTGAGAGGGACCCTTTCATCCTGTGCAGTTTGATGTGGTCGTGGGTGGAGCAGCTGAAGGAGCCTGTGATAACCCAAGCGGATGTGAGCATGTTGGCTGACAGATGTGCGGATACTGCAGACGCACTGTTTCTATTAGAGAAGGTAAGGTAGCTGCTGGACCAAGTGATGCAATTAATTATGTAAGTTCACACACTAAAAAAACCATTGTAAAAAGGGAATTCATATGGAATCACATATCTGGGTCTAATTTAAGTTTCTGTGTTTAAGTTTTTCCAAGAAATACCCAATATAAACATTTAGAAGATACAAAAATAAAAAGAGAAATGCCCATAATCCCAGGAGAGCCACTTTAAACATTTTCACGTCTTTCAGACTTACCACCACGTATGTTAACTTGGTAGAAATCATTTCATATACAACTTTATGCTTCATTTTTTGCTCAAAATTGTAACATATGTATATTTCCATGTTTAGTGTAACATTTTCATAAATATTAACTTGATGGACAGGTAATACTCTAACACTGTGCAGATATGTTATAATTAACCATTTTCACTTTCAAGTATTCGTTTCTACTCATTTACCATAAGTGTACAATGTGAAGAGCTGTGAGGTAGGTTGGAACATGCACTCATTTGTATTTTCTGTGAAAGGGAAGTGTGTCATGTACATATGTATGTAGTCCATGTATAAAAGGTGGAAGACTATAAAAGGAAAAGCAAGAAATCGATAGATAATGATGGTGATTGCCTTAGGGAACGTACTAGGAGACAATAGGTCTAGGGAGGGAGGGAAGGAGACTGACTTGTCATTGTAGATCCTTCTTACAATTTAATCTTTTTAACCATAGAGAACTGTTACATTTTATTTAAAAATAGGCTTTGTTTTTATTTTAGGAAACTATTATCTCATAATCAGCCTTGCGTTACCTACTGTGCTGCCGTGTCTCCCGTTTCCACATCTGCGCTACTGCTGGGGACGCAGACATGCAGACACACAGTGGTGGATGCACGGCTTTAAGATGAGATGTTTCCTGCATTGGGAGTCCTCTTAGGCTGGTCTCTCAGCAGGAAAATTACAGAGATGAGCCTGGAGAAGGGTTGAGGCAGTTACCCTTCTTGGGTGGTGGCGGCCAGGCCCTTGCTGAGCTGTAGATTCTGTGTTCACCTTTGTCCATCCCCCTGGCCCGGAAAGGTAGAGGATCCGTTTTACTGAAAAGGGAAGGTGACATAACTGCCCCAGGCACGCAGCCTGTGGCGGAGCAGGATTCACGCTCACGGTTCTGGCACAGCGTGTGCTCCCATCGTCACTCACTCCATGCCCACGGGTAGGCGTTGGCATCACGTCAGGGGTTTCCTTCTGTCAGCGTCACTGTTGTGATCATGTGTGCTTGAGCAGATGTCCAGGTGCAGCCAGTGGCTCTGAGGGCCATGTGCACGGGATGCTCACTGTGCAGGGGTGGGGCTTCTCCTTTGTTTCTCTAAGGGCAGCCCCAGGAACCAAGTCTGGACGCTTTGTCAGAGACCTTCTCCTAAGCTCCCAGGCTTCCCGAGGGCTGCCCGGTCTCTCCTGACACCCCGCTGTCCTCCAGTGTCTGCAGGCAGCAGGGCGAGCAGGTCCCTGGTTGCCGTTACATGTCAGCATACACAGCCCAACTGACGCCATTGTGTCCAGAAACAATAAGAGTGGATCATCCCTTCAGTTCACTTCAAGGAAAACATTTCATTTGAAATTGTGCTTCATGTAATAACTAAGCAGCTCCTGAAAGCATTCAGACACGTAACAGTAAACACTGGTAGAGCCCTTGGTAGAGAGTGTAGTGTTGGAGGTTATAAGCACTTGGTCACATGCCAGTTCCTGGCGCTCCACTTGCTTTGAGTTTATTTCTTGAGGCATTTTTCAAAAAAACTTGTTTGATTTCGATTTCTGCAAAAAACAGGGCCAGCACCAGACTATTCTTTGCGTGTTGCACTGCCTGGTGAGCCTGCAGCCAGTTCCCATGGATGTGGAGGAAGCTGTCCTGGCCCACGCCATCCGAGCTTTCACCAAGGTGGGTGGCGCTTTCCCTCCTTCAGACCACAGCAGCATGATCTTTGCAAGTTAGAATCCAGAGGTCAGCTGCCTCCTCTAAAATAAAACTGTTAGCCACATCTCTTCGGGGAAATGTGTTTGACATTTCTTAAAAGTAGTTGCAGACTTTTGGCTAAAATTACCCGTTTTCTAACAGTGATATTAGAAAAAGCTGACCTGTGGGTTTTTTTGTAGGAGAACATTGAAACAAAGAGCTTTTATAAAGAGAAACAGTTGGGTATTGAGAAAATATTTTAAATGATGTGCTAGTAGGAGTCAGAGAATTTTGTTGTTGAGCCAGTTCTACCTTGGGTCTAAACAAGAAATCATCTAGTGAGAATTCAGTGTCCAGCATTGACGATCAGGTAGTGTGTCCTAGTTGGCAAATCCTAAGCAGAGAGTAAAAAACGTTTCCTTCCTCTGCACATCCTTCTGGCTTATAGCAGTCTTTCCTGGCTGAAGAAGAGTCAGTGCCTGCCAAGTGAAGAGGTTTCCCTTACCCATTCAGCTAATTTTTTGGTACTTCTCACTTATGATATGAAAAAGTCATTAAACAAAGAAACCAGCATTTCAATGATGGTGTCTGTGGTAAACACTAATGATGATATCAGTCATTATCGGTAATTCACCAGTCTCCTCCGCCTCCACTCTTTCCAAAGTGATATTATTCCGGCAGGCTTTCTTGTTCCTCATCTGGAGCTTTATGGCACTAAGTTTCCAGAGTCAGCAGCGCAAACCCCAGTCACATGATCCTTTATGTCTATATTTTATTACATTTTCATAGGCCTTCATAGACCAAGAAGCTACTTGCTGTGTGGGGAAGGCTGTGGTTTGGTGCTTCCCAAAGTAAACAGTGGAGACTGTTATTAATGTTAGTAAGTTTCTGTAAATATGATAGACAATATAATGAATGGTTAAGATAAAAATAAGTGTCTGATTTAACTGAAAATGATACTCAATATTGGTCTCTCCAAAATTCTTCACAACTCCTTTTGGCCTTTGAGGGAGATACTAGTGAAGAGTTAAATATACCAGCTGTTCCAAATCTGTCCATAAAAATGTTAGGACAGAGTCCTTGGGCCTTTCCCTCTGTGCACAATCATAGGAGCAGTGTGTGACAGCTCTCGTCCTGGGCTTCCCATGTAGAAAAGGCCGTGTCTCCCTTCACGCAGAGCTCAGCAGGCTTGCTGCAGCCCCGCATTGAGATCCTCAGCTATGGTGCAAATGCCCTGCTTGTGCAGCGTCCACCTGTGCCCTCCACATCACCCCCATGTGACCTGGAGGGCAAAGGAACCCACATGTGATTATGTTGTTCAAGTTACAAGGTTGTTAGTCTCTGGCCCAGCAGTCTAGTGTCTCCTTCCAGGGTCCCCAAGCCAGCAGATGTCAGCAGGTGAGCAGAGTGAAATCCCAGACGCTTCCCAGCCCTTCACAAGGGGATAGCCCTCCCTCCCTCCAGGAGCAGGAGGAGGGGGTCACTGGCCAAGGGATCTCATCCTGTCACAGGAGTCACATGTGTCTTTGGGGGGCGGGGTGGAAGCATGGTCATTGCTCTAGTTGTCCATCCTGCATCACTCCTAACCCTGCAGTACAGTGAACTTGGGCAGATAGTTTGCCTATGTGTACATGGTGCCTTCCCACCAAGGAAGCGGCTACATAGGTTTTTATGTGTGTCACACCCATGTCAGGATCTCATATGTAGTACTCACCGAAACCCTAAGGAGATGGGCATTGTGGCCTCCTCTTATAGAGAGGTCAGGGATGACCCGAGGCTGCATGGCTGGCAGGTGGAAGGCCAGGCTCCTGTTCAGGCCACCCCGGTGCAACACTGGTAGCTAGTGCACGTTGTTTTCATGAGGAGACCTTGCCCTTATATCATCAGTGATCGGGTTCTGGTTCCAAAACACACTGCACACTCAGTGTCGACCGGATTCCTGACAGTGTGTGAGTAGACTACATATACAGGCACTAGATTTAAGTCTTTGGGTTTTCATTGATCAATTTGTCATTGATGTAATTAGCAATTCTAATATGTAATTAAAATTAATGTGAGAAATGTATTGTGTATACTTTTAAATATATATTTTTATTGATTTCAGAGGGGAAGGGAGAGGGAGAAAGAGATAGAAACATCAGTGATGAGAGAGAATCATTGATTGGCTGCCTCCTGCACGCCCCACACTGGGGATTGAGACCACAACATAATCATGTGCCCTGACCGGGAATTGAACTGTGACCTCCTGGTTCATAGGTCACCGCTCAACCACTGAGCCACGCTGGCCTATCATATTATGTATGCTTTTAAATTTATATATAATTTTGCCCTAACCGGTTTGGCTCGGTGGGTAGAGTGTGGCCTGCGGACCAAAGGGTCCCAGGTTTAATTCCAGTCAAGGGCACATACCTCGGTTGCAGGCTCCTCCCTGGCCCGGGCCCTGGTCTGGGTGCATGCAGGAGGCAACTAATCAATGTGTTTCTCTGACATCGATATTTCTCTCTGTCTTTCCCTCTCCCACTCTCTCTAAAAATCACTGGAAAATATCTTCGGGTGAGGATTTTAAAAAGTTAATTAATTTTAAAAATGTTATATATAATTTTGCTAATAAGTGTTATTTTTTCCCCATCCCATTTCTTTTCTCCCAAAATAGACTGGTTAAAATTCTTGTTTCAGTGTCCTGAATATAAATTTTCTTTGTCACAGGTTCATTTTGATTCTGAAAATGGACCCATAGTTTACAACACCCTAAAGAAAATATTTAAGCACACACTTGAAGAAAAAAGAAAAATGACAAAAGACAGCCCTAAGCCTGGTGTTTAGTGCAGCTGACTTTCCCTTCATTGCGAATATTTCAGACCAGAAGACCCAGGCGGCATTTCTGCTCATAGAGGAACAAGGTCAAGTGCAGAGCTGCTTCATCTCCCAGCACTTTGCTTCATGCTCTTGGTTGTGCTAAGAATGACTGCTTCTGTTTGGAGCAATTCTATATTTTAAGATATCGTTGAGCTACATTTTTATGTTGAAAAATTGCCATAAAGTTGGTGCCGCTTTATTTATTTAACTGAATTAATATTGTTCTTACTATTTTAAGTAATGTATGTTTACATCCTTATTCTTTTTGACATTTTGGAAAAAAAGTTGTAACTCTTCTTTCCAAAACAATTACCTTGTTGACAGAACTCCTACCATTTTTACCAAGTAGATGTCAGGAGTAAAATCTCAGTGTGTATCCATCCCCTGATGCATGATGTAAGGAAGTCACCAAGTGTCTTAAACCAAGTGTTTCTTATTTCTTAATAAGAAGGTTGTTGATACAATGTTTTTAAAGGATTTTTTTCAATTGTTGAAATCTTTTGTGTGTGTTTTCTTCTTTTTATAAATGTGGCAAAGGGTTTCAAAATATATTCTTTTTCAGAGTAGTTTAGTTTTATTGTTAAAGGAATGACTGTGAGATGGTTGGGGTTTTTTTACTTGTAGAAAGTAGACTTGCTCAGGCTTCTCGACAATGTTGCCAACCTTTGCTGTCACAGGAGACAGGAATGGTTCTCACACATCAGCCTTATTCCCACTCCCTGGGCTGCTGCTGAGTCAAATAGCATCTTTACAGAGGAATTGGGCTCAGTGACGGGCACTGTGGGAAGCTGCTCTGAAGCAGGACCCCACAGAAAGGCCGGCCTCCAGGCACTGCAGCCCTCCCCAGTGCCATGTCTGTTCATGCTGACGGTGTGATAGCGTGAGATCTGGCCCATACCTCCCAGTCTGCCATCCTATAGACCAAGTTGCCTTTGACTGCCTTTTGACTAGAACAAGTAAGATTTTTAAATTGAATTTGACCCACTTAGGTTATATTCGCCCTACTGGCTTTAGATAAGAACCTAAACTGGTTCCTTGTAGAACCAAACTATCAATCAGCTATTGAAGCCATAACTAATATTCAAATGAACAGGTGGGGTACCTAGGCCAGGCCAGAGAGGATCAAAGTTTTTCCCAATAAAGCTGATATTAATCAAACCATTTTCAAACTAAAGAAACTACTTAATCATAAAGACAGAATGTCAGGAAAAGCTAATTAACAACAAATGAAATTTCTCTAACTTCTGCCTTTGTGAATCAAGCTCTAGCACATTAAAAATATTTTAGTCATTATCAGTCTTACTAACTCTGCTGGCATACACTAAATGCCATTTCCTCCCACACTGTTTGCATTTTCTTAGGAAATCAAATCCAATGAGTTTTAATGAACCGGGTTGTCCATTCCTGATATTTCTCATTTTCAAGTGCCTGATTTAGGAAATTAGGAGAGAAGACAATTGCATTTTATCCAAAGATATGTTATTAAAATGTTTTGTACCCAAAAAGATGTCTGTTCTCTTCTCATTCAGTCTCATGTGGGCAAGTGGCACCACGGTGTGTCTGATGGTGTGACCCCCAGTGCACCTCTAAAATCTACACCCACTCGCAAAGGAGAGCTGGTGGGAGAGTTCATTAGGCTGTGTACAGTTACTGTATTTATTTGAATAAAAGTGAAAATAACCCAAACACTTATCTTGTACTTCTTCAGCTTGAGAGTCATGCACGTCCTGATGCAGTTGGTGGTTAGACTATCCTGATGGGCAGACTGAGCTGTTGGCTGAACAGGCAGCTAGTCAAGCTCTCCTCAGTTCCGACTCTGTGGGTTCAGAATGACCAAGGGTGTCAGGGGACCCGGGTTGGAGAATTCTAAGAGGAATGGGCAAGGAAAATAAGGCTGACAAGATTCCTGACTTCCTGTGTTTGAATGGATGAGGAATTCTTTGTTGCCCAGAGAATAGAAATCTACCTATAGGAAGACGTTACGGGTTGCAAAATTCAGCTCAGCACAAGTGGGCATTCAGAAGTTCCTACCCCAGGGAGCACATGCATTGTCTTGCCTATTTCTCTTACCAGACCTAGAGAGGAAAGATTCTTTTTTTTTTTTTAAATTAAATTTTTATTGTTCAGATTACATTTGTTCCTCTTCCCCCCCCCCCCCGCCCATAACTCCCCTCCTTCCAGTTCCCGCCCCACCCTCCGCCCTCACTCCGCACGCACTGTCCTCATCCATAGGTGCACGATTTTTGTCCAGTCTCTTCCCGCATCTCCCTTTCCCCTTTCCCCCCCAAGAATAGTCAGTCCATTCCCTTTCTATGTCCCTGATTCATTATAATCACCAGTTCATTCTGTACATCAGATTATTTATTCACTTGATTCTTAGATTCACTTGTTGATAGATGCATGTTTGTTGTTCACAATTTGTATCTTTACCTTTTTCTTCTGGAGAGGAAAGATTCTTGCCTGAGGAAAGAATCCCACCGATTCTGAGTGACTTTGAACCATGCCCTCCTCCTCCTGAAACCACCTGCCTGTGGAGCTTGGAACCAGGTAGAGCTGCCCAGAACAGAGGGCCCCATCAGGGACCCTGAGGCCCTCTTAGCATTCGACTCCATGATGGCATCATAGAGCCTCAGCTGGTCCGTAAGTGTAGTGAAGATGCCCCACATGTTTGGTCTGGGAAGACTGCACTGGCTGTGCTGCTCACAGGGCCTCTAGCACAGCACACTTAGGACGTGAACGATTTCTGCCACTTCTGGGCTTTGCTACTTTATAGCATTGGCTGATGCTCTTTGAGATAAAGTAATGCTGCTTCAGAGATTGCTTTGTCTATTTGCATAACTCAAAAGTACTGTGCTGATCAGCTCAGTCATATCTCTAACCAGCCTCCCAGTATTATCCGAGAAAGAGTATGTGCTGTCAATCACTCTAGATTCCATGAAAATAGCAATAGTCATAGTTAATAGAGATAACATTCCTATTTTCTCTTAAATGGAGAGTGCTTCTATGCCTGCTGCTATTTCAGGCTCTTCTCTAGATGTCTGGAAAATGTTCCAGAAACAGTGTCTTGTAGACAGAGTGCGTGCCTCAAGTTCTTGATATTCGAAGGGCTACAAATAATTTGGGGCTAGCTTAAAAGTGACTGTTTACTCATAGGATCTTTGTTCCAAATTTACAAGCATTGATGTATTTTCAGTGCAAGTAAATCAAGAACAGCATTCCCTTTGGTGCTTTTTGTTTGTGTAAATGTGGCCCAGGATTAGCACCTTATTTTAAGTTGTTCTTTACAATGTGAGATGGTTGAATAATGTGTACAGATAAAAATGGCATGACACAAGTTCACAAATCCTGTTACCCAATGGTGCATTACTTTTTAGTCATGCTTTTAGACATGAGCTGATGTTTGATTAGCCCAGCACTACAATAAAACTGATTTATAAGTAATCACAATGGGGCCATTTACTAGTGGAGCTGTGGTGAACCTTCATTCCAAGCCAGCCAATAAAACATGCAATCACTGAAAATAATCTATCTACTTATATAAAAACCCTGGGTGTAACATCACGTCCAGAAGCTCGACCAATCGGAAGGAAGTCAGTCCTGCAGGGGTCGTCTTGGAAACGGCTGTGCCCTCCCCCAGCTGTTTCCCAGAGGGCAAAGTTTCAGGCAGGAACCCGCCCTCAGAGCAGAGTGTGGAAGTACTGAGTCCTGGGTTGCCTTGCCAGAGCTGTTTCCTGCGAGGCCTGAGGGAAGAACCCACCCTCGGAGGGCCAGGAGCGCCCAGCAGCAGTCAGTCCCGGGTTGCTGAGGCAGAGGCCACAGCGTGGTAGAACTCTGGGTCTGGCCCAACAGGGGGCGTGGCCGGCGTTCAAACCAGACCCTGACAGGAGGGAGGAGGCAGCCCCATTCCTCACAGAATCTGCTGTTGGATAGCTTGCTGTCAGTGGCCTGCCAGCCAGGAACCCCATTCACCTGCACCCCGGACCCTGACAGGAGGGAGGAGGGAGCCCCATTCCTCACGGAATCGACAGGTGGCCAGCTTGCTGTCAGGGGCCTGCCAGCTAGGAATCCTATTCACCTGCATATCTGTATAAAGTTTTAATACATTATATTAGAGGTCATGGTAGTACTGTTTTACCCACAGCATCTATAGGAATTGCTGCAAATTTACTTCTCAGTGGAAGCACCTTTCATTCCCAATATAAATTACTGATTCCATTAAATGAAACTTCAATTTCTAGACTCAATATAAAGAGTGAAGTTGCTAAAACTATTAAAAAGACCCAACTTCTCATTATTGATTAATGCACCACGGCATCCAGTCATGCTATAAACGCCATAGACAGATTACTAAGAGAAATTATGAGTCTGAATATTGTATTTGGTGGGAAAGTTCTCCTTCTTGGAGGGGATTTTTGACAATGTCTCAAAAATGGAGGGCATTTCACCTCCATGGTCTTTCTCCCAAGACCCATAATGCCAAGTTCAAACCTGTTTATATGGGACAAAAATGAATTTGGATTCATAGCTTGCATTATCTACAAAATAAACTCAAAATGTATCCTAGATCTAAATGTAAAATCTAAACTATATAATTTCTAAGAGAAAATATGTGTGGCCTTGGGCTAGTCAGAGATTTGTTAGATGTGACACCAAAAGTACCTCCATAAAAGAACAAGCTGATAAACAGGACAGCATCAAAAGTACAAACATAGGCTCTTCAAAAGACACTGTTAAGAAAATTAAGGCAGAGGAGAACCAAGATGGCGGCATAAGGTATAGACCTGTGCGTTCTGCCTCCCACAACAACATTGAAACTACCAACTATAAGACAAACAGCTATCATTCAGAACCATGGGGGAAGCTGGCCCAGTGGAAGGTCTACACCCCGGAGGGATAGAAAAGGCCCATTGGAGAACGAGATAGTCAGTGGCAAGAGTGTCCAAAAAAAGAAGCACGGAAGCCCCCACCCTGCTGGAGTGCACATGAGACCCGCGTTTTTTTT